TGACTGGCCGCACAGAGTCCTGACCTCAACCCCATAGAACACCTTTGGGATGAATTAGAGCGGAAACTGCGAGCCCGGCCTTCTCCTCCAACATCAGTACCTGACCTCACAAATGGTCCAACATTCCCATAGACACACTCCTAAACCTTGTCGACGCCTTCCCAGAAGAGGCGGAGCTGTTATAGCTGCAAAGGGCGGAGCCAACCCAATACTAAACCCTACGGACTAAGACTGGGATGCCATTAAAGTTCATGTGCGTGTAAAGGCGTCCCAATACTTGTGGCAATATAGTGTATATATATTAATATATATTTATCCCCTATCATTCCCAGCAGCATAACATTTCCTTTGCTTTTACGCCAGCACCGGGAGCCTATAAGTCAGCGCTGGAGGATTGGAGAGGGAAGGGGGGAATCCCTCCAGGGAGCCGTGAGTAACAGTCACCTCTCTCTGCAGGGATAGATCGAAAAGTGAGCGAGCGACGGTATGTGTTCGCTCACTTCGCGATCTATTGAGCCGACGTGCGACAGTTTCATTGTCACACGTCGGCTCCAACTATGACGATGAGTGAAAATCACTCACCTCATAGTTCTCCTTTAAAATGAACTTTCTCAAATGACGGATACACACAGTTATTATTACCATAATATACTTTATTATAAATACTTTTTTTTAGGAATCATATAGATAAATAAATTTGTAAAAACTGTGATCTCACCATTTTCGTTTTAACCGTTGAAGCGCAGCAATCACCTCCATCGTAGTCACAAAAAGCCCAGTTGTTCCCACCATCGCAATAATTATCAGCAATGAAAGGCTGCGGGTTGAATTAGAAAACACAAAAAAAAAAGTCAAACTGTCGGTCGGAAAAAAAGAGAGAAAAGTAACAGTTAAAGCAAAGAAATGGAGAGGAAGTAAGAAGGAAAAGAGGAAGAAAGCGGCAAACAGTGAAGAGCAAAGGAAATGCAAGAACAGATCGGACTGTTAAAGGGTCACCGCAACAAATTCAACTCTTAAACGTCCTTTTAGGGTTGGCTCTATCTCTTTGAGTAAGTCGCCCTCTCCAACTGGTGACGTCACATCCGGTGACTGCCAGGAGATCTACAGCAGATGGAGCTGCTGTCTAACTATTGCCACAGCGCCTTCCATAACCTGTGGCTATTGCCTCATCGGATTCTATAACCTAGTCACCCTAAGCTCAGTATACGGCGAGCTACAGCTCGCCGTATACTGAGATGCTGCAGCTGAAGCGGATCCCGACAATTATGTCTGGATCCGCTCAGCTGCGTGAGTGACAGCTGGCTCTGCCTATCTAGAGGCAGAGCCAGCTGTGCCCGCCCCCTCCGATCCGCCAGTCAGCGCTGGTGGATCTGAGCGGGGAGGGGGAATCCAGCCCCTCCCCCTGTCACGGCAGAGAGCCTGACAGGATCGAGAAGTGAGCGAACGCCGGTATGTGTTCTCTTACCTCCCGATCTACTGAGCCGACCTGTGACAGTCTTATTGTCACAGGTCGGGGGTAGTGCTTACACCCTTGATAGACTCCCCATCTACCTATAATAACACGGTGTATGATGTTAGCAATTCCTAACTCTCCGTAAACTCAGTCTGAGAGAGACGCCTGGAATTCAAACTGAATAGCCGTTATTCCCTAACCATATTCCTGGCTGTGTGTTATCCTGTTGATGTTACATACCTCCGCGGTTGAGATCCGGATAACTAAACTAGGAGCGTTACAAGTTGCCACTGCTCCTGCGCAGCTATTGGCTTCTATAACCTAGGAGAAATATAAGTTTGTACTAGGTTATAGAATCCGATGAGCCGCTAGCCATGCAGTGGCAACAGTTCGACAAGGATTTTCTGGCCATGCGCACCAGCTACATCGGCTGTACATCTCCTACTGGCAGTCACCGGATGTGACGTGCCCAGTCGGAGAGCTCGACAAGTCAGAGCTTTTCGATAAAACACCGGAATGGTGAAACGTGTTAGAGGTTAAGCACGCGTGGGGAGGAACTAACAGTATGCATTTGCTCCAAGGTTTTTATCTTCAGTGAAGACCCTTGGCGTGTAGCTATTTCTGGATTTGGACCCTTACATGGTAGTTTAACCTTTCCCCAGTCCCCCATGCCAGTATTAAACTCAACCAGCAAGATATCACTCACTAGATATTCCTGGTGGAGTACCAACTCGTAGAGTGTGGAGCACCGAACTGGAAAGATTTTGACAAGCAGATGTTCATTCTAGTGAGCGATATCTCACTGGATCAGGGACAAGTAGGTATAAAGCTGCCAAATATGGGGGGGGGGG